CAATGACCTTACCTTATTGAGCATCTGGGCCCGGCCCTGTTATACTTTGGTGGTTCTCAAACTTGGGTGTCCCTGAAAACCACACAAGGAGCCTGTTAGCAATGCAGACTCCAGGGCTTCTTGGTTGACCGCAGGGTTGTGGAGTCAGCATTATTAATAAGTGCATGTGACTGTGGCATAGATGGTTCCACGGCCTGGTGGTAAACAGGTAAAGCAGTGGATGAGTGTGGGGGGTCACAGGCCCCCAGAAGAGGTGAGCTGAGTCTTGAAGAAAAGCAGGGAATGTACTGAAAGGTAACCTGATTGAATGCTTTGTGCCAGGCACAGTTCTAAGCCTTTGGAAGGAGTGAACTCATTTAATCATCCCCCAAGCCCCATGGAATAGTCACCCTGATCTTGCTAAGGTGTAGACTGAAGCACAGGGGTTAAGTAGCTTGCCCAGGGTTCTGTGGCTGGTTAAGTGGGGAGCTGGGGCTCGCCCTCGTACTCCATCCCACTGCACTGTGGCTAGAGCACCCTGGCCCCACCCCGCAATGCAGAAGCGGGGCAAACTGAGGGTGGGGGCTGCTTGTAGCTGAAGCATGTGGTCACGTCAGCTGGTCCAGACGGCTCCATTCCTAGTGTATGGGGAGGCGAGAGTTGCCATAATGTACTTTGGAGAGGCTAAGGCTGGAGCCAGCAGCTGGGGTTCCAGACGTGCTTCCTCCCAGTCCGAAGGAGGAAGGACTTGTGTTAGTGCCGGCTAAGTGCCTGTGTGGCTCCAAGGAAGGAAAGTACACAGTCACCCTGCAGAGGGCTTATTATGACTAGTTGCAGATGTGGAAGCCAAGGTCCAGAGGAGCAGGGTAACTTAATCATGGTCACACAGCAAGCAAGCAGATAGTGACACCAGGCCTGTCTGTGGTGCTTTTCACCACAGAGGGGGCCACCAATGTTCTGAGAGGCTGAATGTCCTACACACACAGCGGGATGGATAAGCAGGCTCCAGAGGGGTGGGTATGCTGGCAGATTGGGTGGGGCTGGGCCCTCCCTGGTGTGGGCTGAGCTGCTGAGAGGCACGCGCAGGCCTGGGGGGCAGAAAGGATCACCTGGTAAAGGAGGGCCTGAAAACAGCTTCTGATTCTGGAAGCCCTTTTCATCCTCCCATAAGAAAAAATTTGGTCACCAGCCCCTTCCCTTTCTTCTTGCTGGCCCCTTACTGAGCACCCTGTCACCCTACCCCTAGTTTCTTCCAGCCTGCATGCCCAGCAGAGCCTGTCACTGGTTGATTTGAGACATACCAGAAGTCTTTGCCAATGATAAGCTTTTTTTGTAGGGGGCAGGGACCTGCCTTCCTACTCAGGCCCAGAGGAAGCTGTTGCCTTTTCTGGAGCTCACCTCTGATGAAGGTGGGATGGGATGTAGAACAGAGGGAAAGCTGGCCTGAGCTCCGGGTTCGAGCAGCAGCTCCCCCAAGATGTGCTGTTTCTCAGTCTCTCACCTCTTGTCCACCCCACAGACAGAGGCTCTGTGATCCTGAGCTTTTCAGCAGTACTCCCTTTGGTTTACATGACAGAGCTGAAATGCTCTTTTCCTCTTTTGCTTCCCCTTTGACAGAGGAGATGGTGGTGGAAGCTTAGCTCCTTTTGAGCCCATTTTAGAGACAAGGTAACCAGAGCCGCGGCTGCTGCAGGGAAGCAGAACCAGAGCTCAGGCTCCCTTTCCTTCTCGGAATCCTTGTGTCTTCAAGTTGTTCTTCAAGAGGGTTTATAGAGCATAAACAGCCCAGGAATGTCACTTGCCTCTCAGAGGTTCCGTCTCTGTGAGATGGGTGCCCCCCGCGTGCAGACAAGGGCAGATTCTAGTGCATGGCTCCTGTGGGCAGGAAGCTCTGCATTTCATGTTGGCTCTAGGTGGAGCAAAGGCTGGTCATTTGTGGATGTGGTTTGGTGGCAGTGAGGCTGGCCAGTGGCCGGGCTGAGCACCGGAGAGCACTTTGCCTCTGTGGGGACCCTGCAACCATTCTACCCACTCCAGAGCTTCCCAGGGGCTGTGGGGCTGTAGCCAGCGTTGGGTGAGGGGATGCCATATCTGCCTTGTCTCACCTGGGCCTGCCGATTGACTGCTTATTCGCCTGGAGAATGTTCAAGGACAGCAAGAAAAATGAGGGACTTTCAGGGGCAGCTGTGTTTTCTGACTCAGTCATAATGCCCCTAAAAATCCTTATTGTTCTTGCAGTGTGCATCAGGCAGCAGCCGCCAACCCACCACTCGCTCACCTGGCTGCACCGGGATGGGAAGGGTTTCACGGGATGGCCTCCTCCATCCTCCTGGAATGACAGTGAATGGGGACTTACTGACTATGAAAACCCTTTTTGTTGGGCCAATTGATTTGCATATCTTTTTACAATTTCTTTTTTTGGGGAGGACTGGGGAGAGCTGGGCATCAAGGTGTTCCTGCACAGAATTGTGCTCAGGAGAATACAAGTTTTTCAGTTTTCAGAGGCATCCAGCTGCAAGTGCAGGGTCCAAGGAAGGGCAGCTTTGGGGCCGGTTACATCAAGAGCAACAGCCTTGGGCTGGCTGATCCTGAAAAGTTGGAACTGATTAAGGACAGGAGGGGAGAAGGCCCCCAGGCTGGAACTTGTACTGTATTTTAAAACAGGAGGAGCCTCTGTCCACTTGTGAGATCTAGTTACCTGGCCCTTTGAAAATATGCTTGCAGTGGGCTCATGGTCTGCCCCTGTGACTCCATAGAGCTTGCTTTTTCTTGCTGGATACCCTCTACTCTTATTTCACCTTCTGGGTCTCCTCCATTCTCAACAGGTGCCCCTTCCCCTACCCACCCCCCAGGGCCTTAGCTTGGGCGGATTTGGGGGGTCCTGAGGTTTGCCAAGAAGTACTAATTGCCATGCCCCTTTAACTCAGGAACACCAATCTGCAAGAATGTCACCAGATCCCAAAGCCACAGAATCTTCCTTTCTAGCTGAGGCTGGGCACGAGGCCTCCCTGAGGAGGCACAGATGGGGAGGGGAACAGGCAGCCAGCAGGACCTGCCTGCTTCCTTCCGGGTTTGCTGCTTGTCTCATCAACTCACAGGTCAGCAGAGGAAATTCATCCTTGAGGTATTGCTATGGTTTCCACGAGCCAACTTGCAAGCTGTCATCACCCAAGAAGATGGCCATTTGTGGGACCTGACTGCCACACTCCTCCACCACACCAGCTCTCCCAGAGCTTTTAAGGAGCCTCAGCATTCTTCTGCCCAGGGGCAGGGACAGCTCCAAGGTAAACATGGGGTTGGGGGTGGGGACTGATGTCTATCCCTTCTTGGTAAGAGGTGGTTGAGGCTTTCTCACAACCTACACTGGAGATACATATGCCATCGTCCCTCATAGCTAAGCATTTGCTGCTTCAAATCAGCCGTCCCTCCCTGGGGCCTCTTTGCCCTGACCTTCTGTCCTCCCAAATGTCTTTGTTCCTGAGTGTGTTCCTCATTCTTTACCCCAAAACATTTGCAAAAAAACAATACATCAAAAATAAAACGGATTAGTACCGCCTCACCCCACAAAGGTCTGCCTTTCACTATAAAGCATTTTAAAACTACAGAAGGCTGGAAATGCCCATACCCAGAGATAATGTCTGCTAATGAACTATACCCTCCCAGCCTTTCGTCCGTCTGTGCACACGCACCCCTATGCACCCAGTTAGCAGGATTGGGGCTTTTAAAAGAGGGGAGGCTCTGTGCCCCCTGGGAACCAAAAAGTCTCTAGTTTTTATTTTGCCTAGCGGGGTGGGTCAAAGCTCGCCCCCAGCCAGGTCACTCCTTGCTCTTGTTGGAGGGTGTCGGGGCAGTGCTGGGTTTCTCTCTAAACCAAGACTGGTGAAGTTCTGGGGAGGGATGCTAGGAATGTGGGCTCTGTGGCCCTAGGGGGGCTGCCGTACTGCTTCTCAGCTCTGGTATCAAAGAATCACTTGGGAAACATTAAAAAAATGCCAATGCCAGGGCCCTGACCCCACCCCTGAGACCAGCTGGATCTGAACCGCTGGGGGTTGGGGGACCCAGGGATTGGTGTCTTTGTTTTTCTCATGTTCCTCGGGGGATTCCATTAAGCGGCCAGAGAACTCAGGCTACAGGCCCACGAGTTAAGAGATGGAAGAGATTTCATCCTGCTCTGTCTTCAGAGCCTGATCAAGGCAATATGACCGTTTGCCGTTGGCAGACTTTATTTTCTCTGCTTCTTTTGATTCTCATTTTACAGACAAAAGACTGAGGCTGAGGAGACATACCGGCAGACACAGGACAGGATGTGGCAGAGCCTGGGTTTAGCTCTGTAGCTGCTGCCTCCCAAGGCCAGTGTTTTCAGTAATAATTATTTATAATTAGCGTGTGTAGTTACAATAAATATATCATAATGCTTATTAATCCTTAACCATTTGGTCAGTGGGTAAGTGGGTGCTACTGTCTCAAGTTGGCATTTGCCCCCTCTAGGGAGGCTGGCTTATTGTCCCTTAGACTCCCCAGCACTAAGTGTGCACCTGGCCCGCGCTGGTCGGAGCTGGCAGCCCTCAGAGTCAGGATCCCTGTTAGGAGTGCCTTGGTCTCCAGAAGGCTGTCTGTGCCCCACCCTCTTTCCTATAGAGCTGGACTCCAGGAGCCTGGCCTGAGGGCTGCCTGGGCAGGTTGCCAGTGCAGAGAACTAATGGGCAGGCGCACTGTGAGCTCCAGGAAGTGGTTGGCTGTTCCTGGGCTGGTCTGCAGCCTGCCTTGGACATGACGGGTATAGACAGGAGCTGAGACTATTACTTTCCCAGAGCCCAGCAGCTCTGGGCCAGGCCTACAGGCTTCCTTTAGCAGGGAGGGCCTCAGCCTTGGCCACACCTTCCCTGCTGGGCCCTGGCCTCACTTTCCTTTGTCTGGCTAACCCTGTTCCCCACCAGCTTTTTGTAACAGAGTGTACACTCTTGGCCCTGATATCCATGTAACCTGCTTCTCACAACCCCTTCCCCTACCCACCCCCCAGGGCCTTAGCTTGGGCGGATTTGGGGGGTCCTGAGGTTTGCCAAGAAGTACTAATTGCCATGCCCCTTTAACTCAGGAACACCAATCTGCAAGAATGTCACCAGATCCCAAAGCCACAGAATCTTCCTTTCTAGCTGAGGCTGGGCACGAGGCCTCCCTGAGGAGGCACAGATGGGGAGGGGAACAGGCAGCCAGCAGGACCTGCCTGCTTCCTTCCGGGTTTGCTGCTTGTCTCATCAACTCACAGGTCAGCAGAGGAAATTCATCCTTGAGGTATTGCTATGGTTTCCACGAGCCAACTTGCAAGCTGTCATCACCCAAGAAGATGGCCATTTGTGGGACCTGACTGCCACACTCCTCCACCACACCAGCTCTCCCAGAGCTTTTAAGGAGCCTCAGCATTCTTCTGCCCAGGGGCAGGGACAGCTCCAAGGTAAACATGGGGTTGGGGGTGGGGACTGATGTCTATCCCTTCTTGGTAAGAGGTGGTTGAGGCTTTCTCACAACCTACACTGGAGATACATATGCCATCGTCCCTCATAGCTAAGCATTTGCTGCTTCAAATCAGCCGTCCCTCCCTGGGGCCTCTTTGCCCTGACCTTCTGTCCTCCCAAATGTCTTTGTTCCTGAGTGTGTTCCTCATTCTTTACCCCAAAACATTTGCAAAAAAACAATACATCAAAAATAAAACGGATTAGTACCGCCTCACCCCACAAAGGTCTGCCTTTCACTATAAAGCATTTTAAAACTACAGAAGGCTGGAAATGCCCATACCCAGAGATAATGTCTGCTAATGAACTATACCCTCCCAGCCTTTCGTCCGTCTGTGCACACGCACCCCTATGCACCCAGTTAGCAGGATTGGGGCTTTTAAAAGAGGGGAGGCTCTGTGCCCCCTGGGAACCAAAAAGTCTCTAGTTTTTATTTTGCCTAGCGGGGTGGGTCAAAGCTCGCCCCCAGCCAGGTCACTCCTTGCTCTTGTTGGAGGGTGTCGGGGCAGTGCTGGGTTTCTCTCTAAACCAAGACTGGTGAAGTTCTGGGGAGGGATGCTAGGAATGTGGGCTCTGTGGCCCTAGGGGGGCTGCCGTACTGCTTCTCAGCTCTGGTATCAAAGAATCACTTGGGAAACATTAAAAAAATGCCAATGCCAGGGCCCTGACCCCACCCCTGAGACCAGCTGGATCTGAACCGCTGGGGGTTGGGGGACCCAGGGATTGGTGTCTTTGTTTTTCTCATGTTCCTCGGGGGATTCCATTAAGCGGCCAGAGAACTCAGGCTACAGGCCCACGAGTTAAGAGATGGAAGAGATTTCATCCTGCTCTGTCTTCAGAGCCTGATCAAGGCAATATGACCGTTTGCCGTTGGCAGACTTTATTTTCTCTGCTTCTTTTGATTCTCATTTTACAGACAAAAGACTGAGGCTGAGGAGACATACCGGCAGACACAGGACAGGATGTGGCAGAGCCTGGGTTTAGCTCTGTAGCTGCTGCCTCCCAAGGCCAGTGTTTTCAGTAATAATTATTTATAATTAGCGTGTGTAGTTACAATAAATATATCATAATGCTTATTAATCCTTAACCATTTGGTCAGTGGGTAAGTGGGTGCTACTGTCTCAAGTTGGCATTTGCCCCCTCTAGGGAGGCTGGCTTATTGTCCCTTAGACTCCCCAGCACTAAGTGTGCACCTGGCCCGCGCTGGTCGGAGCTGGCAGCCCTCAGAGTCAGGATCCCTGTTAGGAGTGCCTTGGTCTCCAGAAGGCTGTCTGTGCCCCACCCTCTTTCCTATAGAGCTGGACTCCAGGAGCCTGGCCTGAGGGCTGCCTGGGCAGGTTGCCAGTGCAGAGAACTAATGGGCAGGCGCACTGTGAGCTCCAGGAAGTGGTTGGCTGTTCCTGGGCTGGTCTGCAGCCTGCCTTGGACATGACGGGTATAGACAGGAGCTGAGACTATTACTTTCCCAGAGCCCAGCAGCTCTGGGCCAGGCCTACAGGCTTCCTTTAGCAGGGAGGGCCTCAGCCTTGGCCACACCTTCCCTGCTGGGCCCTGGCCTCACTTTCCTTTGTCTGGCTAACCCTGTTCCCCACCAGCTTTTTGTAACAGAGTGTACACTCTTGGCCCTGATATCCATGTAACCTGCTTCTCACAAAACAGGATGGTTGGCAGGCTGACTCAGCTAGCACCCTGGTGGGAAACAGGACAGTGGGCCTCAGCTCCAGCTTTTCTTTGCCTGTATTCCTTGGGGAGCTGGGCTGCCTTGGCTTACCTGGGTCAGAAATAACCTCGGCTTAAGCAGCAGCCTCGAGCTGTCAGATGGAGGCAAGAGCTTTGAGCTCCTGCAGTTGGGGACACAAAGAAAGGGACAAGCCCTTTCCCAGGAGTCTGATCAGGGTTAGGGTTAACCCCACTTAGCTGGGGACCTTGGGGAAAGCCATCTGCCTCTCTGAGCCTGTTGCCTCATTTGTTCAATGGTAATAGTGACCTGCAGGACACATCTAGTTTCTAGGCTTATTTGAATGTAGATATGAAGTGGTCCCTTCTTCTCCCTTCCAGGAAGGCACTTCCAGCAGAGAAGTCTGGGAGAGGTCTGCTTGCACTGTGCTGCCAGGAAGTGAGGTTTGAGTCTCAGTGTGTTGGATGGTGCCTTCCATCCTGAATCTCTACAAAGAAGACCTTTCCTTCAGTTTCCTGTCTGGCCCTGTTGCCCTGCCAGACCCCGTTGGGATGGGGGTTTTGGACTGAGACCTGCTTGCCCTGCATGCCTCTCTGGCCTGGCCCATGGAGGCACCTTCCCCTCCTTGAGGTTCATCCTGCAAGTCCAGACACCGTCCGTTCCAAGGCTGCACTCTGGGCCTGGGCCAGAGGAGCCGCTGCAGAGCTCTTCCACTGCTGCCAGCTGCTTGGGGTGCGGGTGCCCGAGCACAGGCAGGGAGGGCTTTCTGTTTGCCTTGGCTGGTGGGGGAGACATTAGCGCTTGCTTTCTGTTTTGTATCTACCAGGTAGAGCCTGTGATGTTCAAAAAGCAGTCTTGAGCCTTGAGTGAGTTTGGGGCATATCCCCGATGGCCTGACCCCTGGAGGTGTCGAGGTTGAAATGGCTGATCTGGGTATGTGAAGAGACGTGATGGCTATCTGCTGGCCTTCCCTACCCAGCACCCATGGCCCTTTTTTCTCATAGTGCCTCTCTTTTCCTCCAGGGGATCACTTTTTCCTGACCCCATACCCCTGGGGTTCATGTGGGGCCAACTCTGCCACTCTGGCTTGAGAGGCAGCCATATATCCAGGCTGGACATGGAGACCTCGCCCTTGGGACTGTTGCAGCAGCTATGTGGAAAGAGGCATTCCAGGTTGGTGGCCATCTCGTTCTTCACTCAAGGACGCAGCCAACAGAGAGGAAAGAGCTATTGAATGGAGGAAGTATTCTGTCCAGGCATCAGTAAGCCCCTGGAGCCAGCCATGCTTGAAGCTAACTGCACGCCTAGACTAACCTGATTATAGGAGCCAGTGCATTTCTTTTCTACAGCAATCCTAAGTGGGGTTTCTGTCATAGAAAGGGTCCTAATAAACAATGTTTTTTTTCCTGGGGGGTATCATTAATCTACAATTACATGAGGAACAACAATGGTTTTTTTTAGGGTCTCATTTAAAAAAATCAAGTTTGAGTTATATGTTACATGTGATAATATCACCCACCCATTTTAAGTGTCTACATCCTTGTAACTACCACTGTGATGATAGATCTATAGAACATTCAGGTCCCCTCACTCTGCTTTATAATCCAGTCCCCAGGCCCCAGACAACCACTGACCTGCTGTTCTAGGGATTCATTTTGAATTTTCTAGAATTTCATATAAATATCACATAGTGTACATTCTTTTGTGGCTGGCTTCTTTTTTGAGCATGTTTTGGAGATTCAGTCATGTTGTGTCCATCAATAATTACTTTTAAAATTCCACTGAATGGATGTACCACAGTGTGTTTATCCATTTGTCAGGTGACATGTTTGGACTGTTTCCAGATTTTGGCTATTATGAAAAAGGCTGAACATTCACATAGGTGTCTTTGAGTAGGCATGTTTCAATTTTTGTATCTAGTTTTCAATCTCCTTTTACAGTTGCAGAAACTGAGATTCAGGGAAATAGATTGACCTGTCCACAGTCACACAGCTGATGGGTCCTGTGGCTTGCACAGGAACACAGGTCAGGCCAGTATGTAGCATAGGTGTTTGGGTGTTGCTTACTAAAGGGCCTCTGGGAGTGCCTGGGGAGGGAGCTCATGGAGTCCTGGTGCCCCAGATGTCATTGCTGGGAGGGACTGTCAAGATGAGCTGAAGCCGTGGTCCTTACATTGTCACCCCTCTGGACCAATGTCATTTGTTTTTCCCCTGTAGATTCCACAGTTTGAAAGATTATATCTACAAAACCACTGCATTCATGAAGCCAGAGCCACTTTTCCCAAATACATAACAATGTATCCAGAACTATCTGAGCTGATACTGTAAGCAAGCTCATATGAAGACATGGAGTTGAAATCACTCTAGCCAGAAAGAGAGACCTGCTTTTTCTTTTTTTGGCTTGGGACCCACAGATGCTTCAGCCAGATCTCCTTTTTGGTCTTCTCTCTGCCCAGGTCAGCTCTTGGAGGGTGAGGAGAGCATTTCGCTGATATGCATGCTGTGAGCTCGACCTGGGTCATCTCCTTTGGGACCCAGAGTCATCCCTGGGTGCAGCTGTGCTGAAGACAGATGCACCTCTGGGCCTTCCAATTTTGTGAGCCAGTACATCCTTTCCTTCATTTGAGTCAGCTTGCAGGTGAGAGTCCCAGCTAATACAGCTTAGCCAGACCACGCCCTTCAGTGGCGCTTCCCCAAGTTCCGGAAGCAAAATCAACTAATGGCCAGTCCAGTTCACCTCCCTGGGGGTGGGCAGCCACTACTAAATGCTTTACATACATCATCTCACATCCTCTCAACAACTCTAGAGGAGGTACTGTTAGCCCCATTTTACTGCAAGGGAAAGTGAGGCATGTGGAGGTCAAGACACAGCTGGAATGTGGGTGTATCACATCCATCTCACGTGCCTCTGCTGATTCTCTTGGCTTCACTGTCCACCCAACTCCTGGCTGCCTGCTCTGCCCCAGCCAC